TGAGGAGCATGGCCTCAGATTTAGAGGTGCTGGTTCTCATCCCAGCCGCTTCACACTCATCTGTGAACTGCTCCAGTAAGAGCTGAAGATCACGGCACGATGACGCCAACAAGACCACATCAAATCCAAACCATGTATAATAAATCTTTAGGTGTAGGTACAGACAATGTATGGATCAAACATAAACACGATCAAGGGTTATTATTATCACTTAGTAAGGTTATTTAATTAGTAGCTTAAAAGGTTCTTATTTTTTATGTTTATTTTTAACTTAAAGGGGCCAAAACAATGATTGGATGGGCCTTGGCATAAAGTGGAAAAGTCCAGGTTTGTCCAGGTAATGGCTTCAGAAACCAATGTCTAAACCTAATACTGCATTTCATTATCAGATTTTTTTTTTAAGTATATCATGTTAAGTTCACATGACCAGATTAGCTGATGTTAGCGTTTTTAATCCATCATCACAGTTCAAACTTAAAGCCGTCAAAAAGCACATATTTTAAATATTTTTGATACGAGTTTTTGAATATATGTAATTAAAAAAAAATTAAAATCATTCTGTGACTGGGTAGGCACTTTTTGTATAAATAACACAATGGTAGTCATATGAAATTGTAAATGTTCATATTTTTATAAAAGAGTTCAGATTATTTATGCAGCGCTGTGGAGGGACAGGACTAGATAAGCTGCTTGCTTCATTCTCATCAGAGGAATGTTTAGTTGGCAAAAACAATTGCAAGTGGTTTGTTTACATTTGGATATTGACGGGTTCACTTTGAACAGTCCATCCATCCATTCGTCCATCCATCCATCCATCCATCCGCCCATCCATCAATCCAGCAATCCCCAGACCTAAGCAGAGTCAGACAACATTGAAATCAGAGATACTAGGTCCAAAGTGAAAGGTCAAGTTCTGACTCCCTCTGAAGTCAAGAATCAACGGCTAACAGCTGAGCACGAGAGTCTAGAGAGGTAGAGTCATTTTGGCAGGAAGTCGAGCCGTGGAGAGTTAACACAAAAGCTGAGGTGAGTCACATGTGAATGAGCTGTGTCGAGATACTCGGAGCTCTACTGAGAGGATCTTCATAACTGAGACGAGGAATTCTTACTAATTTCTGCATGTTTTATGAAAACCCTGATAAGTTTAAACTTCAATTCTTTTTCTGGACATAAATCACTTTTTTGTGTGTGTTTTTTGTTGATGATTACCATGTTTCCTCTGGTATCAGATACTGTGCAGCTGGAAGGATTGTTTTTTTATTAAAACCTTTTTGCTTTTGGACATTTGTTATGATGCGTAACCATGGCAACAATGTGTTTTTTTACAACCCGGAGCAGCTGATTAACATCTCAAAAGTTCAAATAATCAGTCAGAGTCAGAGAGTCAGAGTTTCTTTATTGTCATTCGCACCTCATGTGGTACATGTGGTGGAGCGAAATTATGTACACGGGGTCCCAGTTACATCCAACAATAAAATGTAAAATAAAATAATACCTCAACTACAGCCCCAAATCCCAAATGAGTTGAAAAAGAAGGTGCTGTAGATGTGCACGGCTCATGACAACAAGACCAGGATCATCCCCAAACACCTGCAGCTGGATGTCCGCAATGATGAGGAGCTCAACAAGCTGCTGGGAGGAGTGACCATCACTCAGTGAGGAGTTCTGTCCAACATTCAGTTGGTCCAGCTGCCCAGGAGGACCAAGAAACCCACCAAGTCCAAGTAGACAGATCAACATCTGCAACCAGTTTCTTCAGATCCACTGTGGGATGGATCACTACAGGAGATCCTTCCTGCCCACAGCCATCAGCACATGTGACAACTCTTTAATGAAACCAGGATGATGAGCTACAACATTTAACTTCCCTTTGGGATTAATAAAGTTACTTTTGAATTTTATTTTTTTGTTGTTCTCGCTATATTAACTTCTAAACAATCATTAAATGATGAAGATATTGTGTTAGAAGCATAATCATTCAAATTATAGCTTTAGGAACATAACAACAGAAAGCAAAGCTATGTAGTTTATTTTGAACTAATTTCATCTAGACCAGAGTACATTTACACCCCGAGCATAAACACTCATACAGAAAATCTATTTCCCAAAATGTCTTTATTTTGTTCGTTTTCTGACAGAATAATGATTGAGTTAAAAGGTTCACTACATTTCTTTTTTCCAGTTTGCAATGGGTTTTAAAAGCATGATTGTGCACAACTGTGGTGTTACGTGTTAGGAATACATCGTCATCCATCTCTAATCAGCTGCCTTTTAGCCGTGTGTATTCAACGTTACCTTCCTTCTGGCCGAGGGTCAAGCCGACACAGGTCACTGCGACACGCGAGTCCTATTTGCACTGCAGTGGCTACGATGGCAAACAAACGTTCAGACGCAATCTTCCTGGGAAAGAACGGGTCAGAGAAGAGCTGTGATTTTTCTCTTTCTTTGGTAGAGGAGAAGAGCGCAGCAGAGAAAAAGGTGGAGGAGAAGAAAAAGTTCTCAGAGGAAAGAGACGTAAGTAGTTTCATCAATTTTCAGTTCCACAATCTGGAAGCAGCAAATTGTTCAATAATACATTGATTTTCTGTCACTTGTCGTGGAAGCATGCATCCTGACTTCCTCTTCACTTATCTGTCTAATTAGTTTCACTTGAAATACAATTAAATTAGAACAAATAGAGCACAGGAAGGACATTTTGCAGCCCACACAAAAGCTTCAGTTGACATTTGCCATGTTAATGTTACAAAATACCACTGAAAAAAGGCTGAGGCATGCTTATAAAAAATGTTGTTCAAATGTAACATTATGACAGATCATACTAGGAATTATTTTTCTTTTTCTTTATTAGTTTACTCTTTTCTTTCAGTTGCAATCTATTTCACAAAGTTTTATGTAAAATTTTAAAAAGTATGGGAAACAGATATGCTGGAAGAAACCAATAAAACTGACACAAAATAGTGAGAATTAGATTTACTAAGATTACCTAATAGATAAGTATTGATAATGATTATTTTTCAATCAGTGTTCACACATCCCCCAAAATGAAGATCTTAAAAATGTGTCTGCTTCTCTCCAAAAAACACTGTTTGTGTGTGAACATGTGATGCAAACACAAGAAAAATCTCTGTTATTTGAAATATCTGTAGTATGGACCGGGCCTTAATCACATGAGAGTTTTTATCTTGAAATGAAGGCGACATTTAAATGATCATCTCAAAAACAATTCCTAAATCAAATAACTATTACACTTTGAACTTGAAGCCTTTCTGCTGCTCTTTCCACATAAAAAACGAATACATTTAAAAAATCTACTGAAGAATTCAAATTTATGTGTGTGTGTGTGGGGGGGGGGGGGGGGGGGGTCTTCAAAATTGGCCAACTGTCATGAAAAGTCTGCACTGAATAAAGTAATGCTCTGTTTTAAAGCAAAATGGGAGACAATAAAAATATTGTGCATTAAAAATATCATCTTGAGGGCCAGATAAAATGTTTACAAGGGCCGCATTTGGCCCTCGGGCCTTCAGTTTGACACGTGGCTCAAATTGTGGCCATGGCTGAATCAGAATCAGAACAAACTTTATTATCATTGCGCTGAGATACAACGACAATATGTCCATACTGTCGTCTGAAAGATGGGCGGAGTGCACGCAGCTGCTGCTGTAAAGCGCGGCCTTCTTATCCTTTACAGAATACATTTTTTTAATAGAAAAAAGGGACAAAGCCACGAGGAGAGGATAGTGGCATTACAAAAATGGATCTCGTCACGCCTTGTCCTAACAGGACACGAGTTAAGACATCAAAAAACTGCCAGCAGCACATTTATGAACACGTTACATGTGCATTTGACTATGAGGCGGACAGATTGTCCTGATAAGATGATGGTCAGCCGGCACACTTCTAAAATGCTTCCACGTTTTTTTTTTTTTTTTTTGGGGGGGGGGGGGTGCGATACACGAAGCTTTTCCTTAGTTTACACATTTCCCAGGAGAAATTGAGAAGTCGGTCTATTTCGAGGCCAACGGGGGAGTCAGATTCAGATAATCATTGTTGATTTATTCAGGCAGAATATTTTCCTTGTCAGCCTTTGAGTCTGTACTGGAACTTCCAAGATCTGAAATAGCCAGATTAGGGTGAAGATTACTGGTCTGTGATTACGAGCGTCTTCAAGGTTGTTTCATGCTGATGAGTCCCAAAGCCGCAGGTGGCCTGCAGTTCAAATCACTTCCATCTTATGGTTTCGCTTGTAAATCAGCTGATTTTGAGTCCTCAAAGCACGAACCAAACCTTCACTTAGACAGCAGCCTGACGAGGCCAGATTAGCTGCGACTGTCTTCTTTGTATGTTGATAAACCAGGATCCAGACTATTCCAAACACAGGAAACCTGTTATCATAACAATTATATGCAATTTCGGCGTCCTCGATTGACAGCAGAGGTAGACACATCACCCCCAGACATATCCAGCTGCATGTGTGTCGTCCGAGCAGATGAGGGTTCTCCAGGACCCTGTTGCTTTGTTAAAAATATTTTGTCATTTGTCGAAAGTCCAGTTGGTCAGATCCTAAACAGTAGTTTTCATTTCGGAAGATGTGAAAAAACAGGAGCTGCTCCGATCCACAGACAGAGAGCAAAAAAGCAGGAGGAGGACAGGGAGAGGGAGGAAATGTGTGCGCCTCGTTACAGAGCCAGTGAGAAAAAAAACTGACTTATTAACTCTGAGTTTTCCCCATCAAGGCAAAAGCTGGTGACAATTAAATTGTTTCCTTTTGTTTGTTTGTCTCTTTAAAAGAATTGAAAGATAGAAGGAAATGTGAGATTTGGCAGAAAAATCCAAGTGCTTTAAAAAAAAAAAATCAACATTGCCCAACTAAGGTTGTACACATTTATGCTGTGATTCAAAGTTACTTTCTTTAATTTAATGAGTGCTTTATTATTACACAGTTCGAAAATTACTAATGACATATATTGTTGACAAAACCTTTTACTTTTTTATTTTCCAGCATGGTGTGGCGATCTCTGGGTCAATCCACTCGCTCCATCTACCTGGGCCTGGCTTTCATGTCCCTCATTCTCCATCTTCTCTTGGCATTTTTCTGCTTCTCCGTCCTCCAGTTTGCCTGTGTACCTCCCACCCCCTCCTCTTCAGCCCCTTCCTTTGTTTCAAGAAGACACGCAGGCTCACACTCCTCCTCTTCTTCTGCTGCCTCCTCCTCAAACAAACCACTGAGCAGCTCCCAGAATAGAGGAAGTCACAACTTGAGTGAGTTTGACCATAAAGGGAAGGGCTCGTTCCGTGAGTCCGCTGAGAAGGCAAAGAAACTGATGGGAGCTGAAATAGGCGTTCAAAAGAAGAGGGGTCCGTCTAAACTGGAAGAGCTGTTTAAACATCCTCTGTACAACCTGCCACGCCCAGAGCTGCAGGAAGATGATTGGCTGCTGAGGCTGAAGACAGAAGAGGAAGCAAAAGGCACAGAAACAGAAGAAGAGAACCCTGTCACTGATGATAGCGAGTGGTAAGTGAAACAGTCGCTCATCAGTGGCTGCAGGCCTCACAAGAAGTGTCTTGGAACACACCTGATGCTTCAGTGGCATCACGGGTTTCAGAAAGCTTATGACTTCATGAAGCAAAGTACTTTAAACATCATCCAGTAAAAGTTTTCGGGTGTTCTTGATGAGACCATGCGTCTATGTGAACATTTAAATTGTTTGTCTTTCTTTAAAAATACTACAAGATCATAAGGCCTCACACAGATTAGCTATGTGGACTGACAATGTGATATGTTCATTGTCCCCAAAGGATAAACCCAACAGACATCTCTTGGTTTCACCACATTCTCAACAACTATGATTCTAAAACCTCTGACACTAGCAAACTGGCACATGTACAAGTTTGCGACGTACACACAAATATAGGCTAATGCAGTAATGCAAGAACCTGACCACCACAAGGTTCAAACATTGATTCAGAGACAGAAAATAAAGGAGAAAGATGCTCCAAAGAGCACGTGGGGCTGCCAGCATTAGAGCTGGTTTATACTTCATCAGAAGTGCCGAAAATGTATCTCCCTGACATGGTTGTGTGGTGAAGATTGCGTCTTTTTCTTCTTGCGCCGCCTCCCAAGAACTGGCTGTGTGCACCACAACCCACAATCAGAAGTACAAGGTATGCACCAAGTGTCGTGTGACTGGTCAGAACTTTGTGGTCGGTTTTATGAGGAAAAAACTGGCTGCAATTCGCTGCCTCCTTTCATTTCAGCTGCTGCACTGAGGAGGTGAGGCTGTTGTAAAATACAGCTGTTTCAGCCAAACTTGTTCAAATAGTCAAAGAACTTGTGGAAGGAGTTAGTACAAATTTGTGCATGGAAGAGACAGCATGGAGACATAACAACTAATAAACAAGAATGCTAACGATTGAGTTTCTATGGCAGTGTATGTGTAACAGTTTTCAAATTAAAAAGGATTAATAGAAATGCTTTTCATTTTCAAAACAAAGCTGCATGTTTTGACTCGTAAATAAAATGTAAAATAAATCATTTTCATTTTCTTCTTCAAGACTGCTCTTTGTGTAACACAACTACAGAGGAAACTAAGAACAAACAGCTTGGTCGTTTTCACGCCCCACCCCTGCAAAAAGTGTTCCAAAAATCAATTTGAATTGGCAACGGGCCTTTTGTTCTGACTCGCTGCAGTGGATCAGTACTTCTGGGTCTTTTCTCCCTCGGGAGACCCGTCCGGAAAATTCACGGAATTTCATTCATTCAACCTTTATTTATTGAGGTTAGATTACAAGACACAGCACAAGGTAAGGTTAATAAAAACTGTATTTAGCTGTTTGTTAGCCGTGGTAACGTTATCCATCATTATCAATTTACCATTCTGTAACTAAACAACCGTGTTGGAAGATGTCTGACAGGCAGCAGCAGTGTAGAGTTTAGCTACCTGTTAGCTGCTAGCTAGCTTACTTTACAATCGGAGGATGTTTCCTCACACAGTTACAGAATGGTAAATTGATAATGATGGATAACGTTGTCACAGCTAATGAACACATAAATACTGTTTTTATTAATGTTAATACAGAAAGTAAACCTTTAAACTTTAGAGCACTGACAGCCCGTGTTGTATATTTTAACTACCTGTGGCTAAAGTTGCTGCAATGATAACGTTTCCACGACTAACGAACTAGTAAATACAGTTTTTATTAACCTTACCTTGTGCTATGTCTTTTAATTTAACCTCTATAAATAAAGGTTGAATGAATTAAATTCTGTGAATTTTCCAGACAGGTCTCCCGAGGGAGAATAGACCCGGAAGAAGAAAATGAAAATGATATATTTTTTTTAAATTTTATTTATGAGTCAAAAAATGCTGCTTTGATTTTGAAATGAAAAAGCATTTCCTACTAATTCGTTGTAATTTTCTAATCTGACATTTCAAAATGAGTTTTGGTCACTTTTTACAGGGACATATTTTGAAAATTAAATGTTAAACATTATTTTATTTATCATTTTAATTAAGTTACAAATTGAGAGAAGAAAATGAACATGCAGTTTAGATTACTTATTTTAAATTTTATTTATGAGTCAAAACATGCAGCTTTATTTTGAAAATGAAAAGCATTTCTATTAATCCATTTTAATTTGAAAACTGTTACACATACGCTTCGATACTTTTCTCCGTGTAGAATACAACCTACATCCAAAACTACAGCCTGCCTAAATTAGCTGAACTCTGTTGCAGCTTCTACAGTATATGTTGTTAAGCTTGGTTTTTATTTGCTGCTTTGTTGTAGCTTTTAGTTTTTATTTGTCAATAACTAAACAATAGCTGCATTTGTGGCTAGTCCCGAACACCACCAAAATATTAAAGCTAGCCAGCAACTCGAAGTTTATGCAGAGTAAGTTAAAAGAACTGTTTTGTGCTGTGACTAACATGAGTGTGTCGAGTGTGTCTTATTTCAAAAAGTTTCATATTTAAAAGAACTTTTGCGTTTTTTTATTTTAATTTTTTTTTAATTTTCATTATGAATATCAAGCTCATGCACTTTATTGATAGTTAAGTCACATAGTTGTGTTGCTTTATAACCATGGCACACTTTGGGGCAGACTGAATGAGGCTATGTGTCAATCACAAAGTCAGTCTTAGTACAATTTTGCAATAGTTTCTATATATTTTACTCAAGAGGAGTGACAAACTCATGCAACAGAGTCTGGCTCTGTTGAATGTCTTTATGGGACTTTCCTTTCAGATTGTAAAACGTTGGAGGAGATCATTTGAATAAATCACACGGAACTATTTTCTATTTGTTACTAACTGCACCATTACTTGGTTCCCAGAAAACCCATTTAAACCAGCAGTTGGATGGAGTGCTGTTTGTAAAGTTACACAGTCAAAAACTAAAGCAATATTTTGGTTTATTTAGCCTTTCATTAAAAAAAATTGAAAAAAAAATTTCAAAATCATATTTTCACTATGTTATTCAAACATTTATAAATGTCATAGTTCCAAACTAAACATTTAGCTCCACACTAAATATTTAGTTTGCAAACTAAATGTTTATGTCCAAGCTAAATGTTTAACTTACAAACTAAATATTCAACTTGCAAGTTTAATATTTAGGTCCAAGATAAATATTTAGTTAGCAAATTAAATATTTATTTTGTAAACTAAATGTTTAGCTTTGAAAATAAATATTTAGGTCTGAGCTAAATGTTTAGTTTTGAAAACAAATATTTAGCTTTGAAATTAAATATTTAATTTACACCTAAATATTTAGTTTAGTATTTAACTTGCAAGTTAAATATTTAGTTCACTAATTATTTAACTTGCAAGTAAAATATTTAGTTTGAAAATTAAACATTTAGCTTGGACATAAACATTTAGTTTGTAAACTAGATATTTAGTGTTGAACTAAATATTTAGCTTGCTAATTAAATATTTAACTTGCAAGTTGTGTATTTAGTTTGTAAACTAAATACTTAACTTGTAAATGAAATATGTAGTTTGGAACTATGACATTTATAAATATATGAGTAGCATGGTGAAAATCTGACTGAAAAAAAAAATTTTTTTCTTATGAAAGGCTAAATAAACCAAAATACTGCTGTTAATTTTTGACTGTGTAACTTTACAAACGGCACCCCATACAGTTGTGGCTGAGTGGTTAGAACAGTTGTCCTCCAACTGGAGAGTTGGGGTTCGATTCCACCAGTAGTCACATGTTGAAATGTCCCTGGGCAAGACAGTGAACGCCTCATTGCCTCTGATGTGTGTCCCATCAGTGTTTGAATGTGATAAAAGTGCTGATTAGTCTCTACAGATTCAGATTATCTTTGTATAGATGTAGTAGAGTGCTGTATGGATGTGTGTGTAGAGGTAAATGAGAGCACAGATTGTGTTGTGAAGCACTTGGTGCATTTTGATTAGATAAAAAGATGCTATATAAGTACAGCTATTTAACAAAACATCTCTACTTCTACTTATTTTTATACATTTCATCTTCTAGGCACAGTGCCAGTGAAGAGAAAGGCTATGATAAAGTATCTTGGACTATAGAAAAGGAAACCCACCCTCCCTGGCTGCAGTTTCACCTGGGCATCTCTCGCTGGGAGCTGTATGACAGGAAAGACCCCGTCCTGGACCAGATGACTCATTATTTGGCAACACACCGAATCCTTGGAGCTGGTGAGTGAATAAGAAGAGCAGGTGGGAGGTGGGGTGGAAAAGAGGGGAAAGAACAGAGCCAGGGAGCTGTTTACAAACCAGAGATATCATAATTAGAGGATGGTACAAGTGACGTGTTGTGTGAACACCTAGTCTGCATTAATTCTGTTTCTAGACTTTTTGGGGGCTTAAACTATTTTTGCATATGTTGCAGTATTTTTATCGTTCATTCAGCCATTCAAACGTTTGGCTCGATTGGGAATAGTGTGCTATGACTTTTAGCATTTGTAACTTTTAATTTTTTCAAAATATTTAGCTTCACTTACAAAGATTTCCCATAGCAATACTTTGAGATGTATTCATTTTCATGAACAAAAAGGTTATTTGAAAAGTATTTCAGAATACTTGCTATACTTTTTGTTTTCTCCAGATCATTTTAGTTTTTAGCTACTATATTGCTACCTTTAGCCTTTATTTACAATTTTGCTACATTTACGTTTGAGCAACTGTTCGGACACATTTAGATTTTTGTTAGTTTTTTGTTAGCTTTTGGTTACTTTTATGTACAGCTTTGCTAGTTTTAGCTTTAAGTTACATTTCTACTTATTTAAGACTACCTACAATTTACTACATTTAGTGTTTAACCTCATATTTAACAACAATTAGCTCATTTAGCTAATTTTAACTTGTACGTTTTCTCATTTTTTGCATTTAAAATCTTTGGTAAAATTTTTAGCTGTTTATCTAATTTTAGCTGCAACTGCTTTGCTAATTTTAGTCTTTAGTCACAGCTTTATTAGTTTTAGCTTTTAGCCTTTTTTCATGATTTTAGCGTGTGTTTTGCATGTTTTACAGTTTTTCTCAATTGTTTAGACACATTTTCTAAAAGCATGTCTCATAAATTCAGAACTCTACACGCTTGTCAAAAAACACACACAATGAGCAACACCCCTCAGTTCTCCTTGAAAATGAAACTTTACATTCAAAACAATGTTATCTCTTCTCAAAATGGTATTTTGTTTTCCGATGACACACACAAACCAATAGATATTTATAAGAACCAGTAAAACACTGATGTACTCTGTGTAAAACACTTCTATCCAACAATGACATGCTCTTTTTCTGTTCAGTGTTCCACTTAGTACAGATAGTACATACATACATCAGTGTGTTGTAAAATATTTTAGAAAAGTATTTGTACACTCAGAACACACAAATAAATGGTAACATATACTATATATATATATACCGTTTACACACACATATACTTATTTTTGTACAATACTGAAATATGAATAATTTATACAATGTTGAGATTGTGCATCAGTTGTGGAGTATATTGAATTGTATTTACTTGTACATAGTTATTTACAATTATTTGACTCTTTCTGAATTGTGTTCAAATGGCACCCTGTAGACCTGCTTCATCCTCAGCTTATTTCTGCTCAAAACACGGTACAGTGTTTATAAGTTTACCTTATTGATATTTTGAAATATCTCAATGTTTTCTATTATTTTTGTTTGTATTTGCCGTAAATGTTACGGCATTATTTTCTAGGACCATGTTCACAATTTCAGTTTCCTGTTGAGGAGACAGAAGATGTTCCCATCCACATTGTTTTAGTCATCTTTCAGTTCTGCAATACAAATAGTGAAAAACTGTAAACACTGTGTAGGAATACAAGTAGGAATACCTTTCACAACTACTTGAAATACTTCATTTTTACAGTCCTACAGAAAAGTCCAAAGGCAGTACTGTACTACTGTACTCACTGAGTACAATACTGCAGTTTTCTAGTGAGAGTAGATTTCTTTCCTATTCTCATTTTGGAGAGTCCAGATGATGGATACTACAGTGTATCTGCTCAGTTCTATGTCATATAGGCTTCGCCCTTTAAGGCTGTCGCTGATGGGTTTATCCCGTTATGCGCAAGCATCATACTGAAAAAATTAGTCCACGCCCACCTGCTGTGTGGGCCCCACCCGATCCGTATAAATTACGTTAAGAGCGGGTAATCTGCTCCCAGTTTTTCTTCAGCAAGCATAATAAATCAAGAATAAACTGACCTTTTTCGTCGAGATGTCCAGCTCCAGCACCATCCGTTTGTGTCCCTCGTGCAAGACCGGCTACTTGCTTAGCTTCGACCGGCACGACACCTGCGAGGGATGCCTGGGTCCCCGCCACGTCGCTCGCGCTTCCTCCTGCCGCCTCTGTGACGAGCTTCCACCGGAGGAAAGGCAGAGGAGAGCAGCCTTGTTTAAGGCTACCATCGAGGACTGCCTGTCCGTGGCGGGAGACTGTTCGCTGGACGACGCCATGGATTTCTTCGACGCCGGCTCTCGGAGTGAATCGGATGATTCCTCTGGGACCGGTGACGCTAGCAGCAGCCCCGACGCTCGTTCCCTCCCGGGGAGCGGAGTGTTGGAAAGAGGGAGGCCGAGCGGATGCTCGACTCCCCCGGGGTTTCCCGCCTCAGCGACCACATCGCTCCCTGCCGTGGGCGCGCTCCTCTCGGAGCTGCCCGCCATTATCCGGGAGGCTGCTAGCGTTAAGGGGCTCTCCGTCCCCTCACCCCCCCCGCTCAGATCGGATGATCTTGCGGGAAGGTTTGGCTCCACGCCGGCTCGCCGTCCTGATCCCATTTGGCCTCGTTTTCCTGCGGTGACAGCGTACTGGAACGAGGCCGCAGCCGGTCCTGGTAGGTTAAGGGCGCCCGTCTCCACTTA